AAAGAAGAAAGTCATACACAGCTGGGATGTTTTGTAAATTATGGGGTCATTTTCATTTTTGGGTAAACTATTACTTTATATTGGCTTTTGCACTTCAGAAAACACATCAGTCATTGGTTGTAAATGGTTATAGCCTACGTTATTTGGTATGTCTTCAACATTTCTCAAAGCTTGAAGACAGAATTCTTCAGCACAAGCTGATATAAACCACAATGAAATGTGGCCAGTTGCAAAGCTTTGACTAATAAAACCTGCAGTTTGTTCCAGGCTTCTAAACACTGGAGCAGGGCTGTAAACAGTAGATGAGTGTGTGCGCTGGCCTTCATTATTTCACAGCTAGAGTCCAATAATGAAAATCCCTTGAAAAATGCAGGATTGGCTGCCGATCCCACGTCAACGTAAACAACTACATGGATCTTAACAAAACCGCTCTTGATTTCACACAATAGGTTTGAATGATTTTTCTGCTCTGTTTTTGGTTTGATCATTGTTTAACACACTTTTAGAAGAAAATGTTCTATATTGAACCTTAAAAAATCCTGTCATCATTTACTCACCCTCAAGTTGTTCCAACCCAGTTTGACTTTCTTTCTTCTGCTGAACACAAAAGAAATATTTTGAAGTATATCGGTAACCAGACAGTTGATGGACGCCTTTGACTTTTCCTCCATACTATGGAAGTCAGTAAAGTGAAGTCTTTTTTGGGTGAACCATCTCTTTAAGGGTTCTGTATGCGCTTTATAGAACATATCATTTTAGGTTAATTCATTTAGTTTTAATAAATTTTTTATTGGAATTCAATTGATTTAAACAGCTCACATTTTATCACTAGAAAAAAAAACTGTTAAACATGAACACATTATACTATAATTTAAGGCATTTCCCTTATATAGATCCTTAAAAGAGTCCTTTAAAATGTCAAATACACTCATCTATATTGAACCCCACTGAACTGAACTTTAGCAAGCACAATATCCTGCCATCGAAACAGTTGAAACCATTGCGGTCTGGAAGTTACTTCTGAGCAAATCAAAAACAGACTCCTGTCGTTGTCTTGGAAACGCGTAATTGGATGACCGCTGCAAGCCAAGCTGGAAAACGTTTGCGGTCAAACCAAGACAGAACAACATAAATCAGTGCGGTTCACCAGCAGGTGATTTTTTTCCTATAAGTCTTTCTCTCCCAACTATGTGCCGTCTCATCCTCCCCTTGTGTTTAGTCTCTCTCGCCCCCCTCTCCTGGGGGCAGACTGAAACCTGATGCCCTGTGAAGACCACAACGATGAAGGTCGTTCCAAACAAATCTACCGAGTGTTCCTCTTCCATCAACAGGAACCAAATGTTGTTTTGGTCTTCGAGCCTTCTGTTAGATTATCTGCAAAGTGTTGATACAATGCAAATATAATGCGGCATGATGGTGGTTTAGTGTGGGTAAAAAAACAAACAAAATGGAGGGATTGTGCCTGAGCCATCGTTTATTTAAAATGCTTCTACAAAATCACAGGCAGTCAACTTCTCTTCAGGAAATAAAATGGATGCATTAGCTGAGATGATCCAGAGTTTCTAGGCAAAAACCTTCCATTGTCAATAGTGTAGAGATGTATGAGCAACTTGAACGTGTTGAGAAATCTATATGGGGAAATCGTTTGCTCTTAAATGGAGATTGTGTGTATTTAAAATGGGTCATTTATGGAGAAGAAATGTGAAGCTATTTTTTAATTTGGAGCTTTCTAGAATGAGAAATCCAGAAAAAGTATTTTTGGCTTATATGGATGGAAGACAACAACTCCCAGAATGCACTTGCTTCGCTGCCCTAAGAAGTCACGCCTACCGGTAACAGAGCGCAGTAGTTAAACAACAAGTCTAGGCTACTAGTGAGTCTCTGTCATGAGTCTGTCCGAAAATGTGTTTCGAAATCGCCCAAAATGTCCAGGATTCAGCTTTTGTGTTCTACCGTCGCTATTCATCATGTTTACTGTGGCGATCATGTTTATTCCCGATCATGTGACTGCACCGTTGTTCTTATGTAACGGTGACTAGCTAACAGGGAATGTTCTCAAAACGTTCTGGCAATGTTCTTTCAATGTTATCAATAAACGTTATATGGTCTTTAATAATGGTCTCAGAAAGTTAGCACAAAAACATGACCAATACACCATTTTAAGGGTTGCACAGACTTTAATGCTCTGCCATGACAGTTAAAGCTTGATGTCGACTGGTCGATGATCATGGCCAGGGCGCAACAGGATAAGAAATCTTTGAAAGCCACTTTTACACTCCGTTTCCATCAGGTAAAATGTCATAAATGCGCTCCACAAGAAGTGTTTGATTATATCATCTGGATGCTCAAAATTTATTAAGCGAATGCACATTTTGAACATCTTACTATACATGAAAGTTATAAAGGGTTAGTTCACCCAAAAATAAAAATGATGTCATTAATGTCATCGTAGTCGTAGTTTTTGTTAGTTTTAGACCAAATTGTATTTTCGATGCATCAAAACATTGCAACTAACCCACTGATGTCACATGGACTACTTTGATGATGTCTTTATTTCCTTTCTGGACAAGGACAGTATACCGTACACATATTTCCAATGGAGGGACAGAAAGGTCTCGGACTAAATCTAAAATATCTTAAACTGTGTTCTGAAGATGAACGGAGGTCTGACGGGCTTGGGGTGACATGAGGGAGAGTCATTAATGACATCATTTTCATTTTTGGGTGAACTAACCCTTTAACCCTTATGCTGCATTAGGGACATTTTTGGTCTTTTGCAGTTTAATTTCTTTGACCATTTTGGCTGTTTTAATGCAAATGGTATGAAATTTGGCAAAATTGTGACTTTTTGGATACATGTAAAAAATGTGATCCCATTTTGCAAAATATGTATAACACACACTGTGTAGATCAAATAGTAACACTCAGCACCATAAAGACCAAAAATGGCCCATTGAAACCCATTAAAACGTTGTTTAAATCTGAGGCTGTCAGTAATACATGAAACATGATTTTTGCACAAACATCCTTTCATTTTGAAGCAAAAGCATTATATTTGCATTATATAGTGTATTCCACCAGATGACGTCACTACATATTTATTCCCTATGGGTGGAAATGCACTTTATTTTAGGCAATAGGCAATGTTTAATAGGTGGCCATTTTTGGTCTCTAACGCGCTAAGTGGGATTTTTTGCAAAGTGGGACTGTGATAATCCAAATCTAAAGTTTTCTCTTTGCATTTAGTTTATTGAAAATAATTGAATTTTTGTGTTTTTTCCTTTTATACAAATCGATGGTTTCGCAAACAAAACTGGTAATTAAAGGGTTAAAATCCTGAAATTGAATACATTTTTGGTAGTTATGATGAGGACTGATGCTGGTTAAAAGATTTAACTTGGTAAAAGTGGAAAATAATAATAATATATCATATTTTAGGCAATGTTTAATATGTGGCCATTTTTGGTCCTTGATGCACTCAACGGTGTTAAAAATCTAATGCAGCACAAGGGTTAATCACCATTCTGAACTAATGTGCTGCTGCATTGTAACACACACACACACACTGACAGTAGCGCACACTGAAACATTCAATACCAACACTTTTCTGTGATTTATCAATAAAAAAGCTTAAAAACTGAGAAGTTCTAGCATATATTTCTTAGTGACCTAAGTAAACCAACACTATTACCTTCACTATTGGTAGAGAGATGCTGAGACACAAAGAACATTCAGAAACAACTTTTTCATTAATGAACGTTAGCAAAATGTGAGAGCTGGGAAGAGGCAAAGCTACACCTTTAAAGGGATAGTTCACCCAAAAAAACATAATCTGTCATCCCAAACCTATATTCATATGGAGTAGGGATGCACGATATATCGGCCAGCATATCGGCATCGGCCGATATATGTTCATTTTTAATGTTATCGTTATCGGCCTGGTAAGAAAATGTGTCCGATATAATAAAGCCGATAAATAATGTATTATTCCCTCCAGCTGAGACACTTGTTGAGCACTGTTTATGTTTTTGAATTTCTTGAAATATGATTGAAATCTCTTCAAAAAATGAAAATACGGTTCGGTACAACATGTGCAGCGCAAATCTGTCGTAGCGGCTATACAACACTATAACATGGACATGGATTTAATTGTGAGACTTTTGTTTTTGTAATCAGGCTCTCAAAATTAGATAAAAATTTGGATTTAAGTTTATCGGCCGATATATCGGTTATCAGCTTTCAAATATAAAGAATTATCGGTTATCGGTATCGGCCAAAATGTTCATATCGGTGCTATGGAGCATTAAAAAAAGTTTTTCTATGCAATGAAACTCAATGAAAACATGTTTTGGATCATGGATCACTATATGGACAAACAGTTCTCAAAATATCTTTTGTGTGTCACAGAAGTTTGAAAAGACATGAGAGTGAGAAAATGATGACAAAAGTTTATTTTTTGAGTCCCTTTTAACAGACATTTTGAGTAAACAAACATGAATCTAGCTTTTGGAAACCAGCTGAACAAAGTAATCTCGACCACTGGCCAGATCTCACGGCGCCGACCAACGGCAACAAACACGTCATCGGGTTTTGTCAGATCAGTGTGTTCACCAATTGACCTATGGCTTAGCCACGCCCTCAAACGCGATGAGCCAATCACACTAACCGAATAGATTCGGACATTCTCTGCTTCCACGTCCATTGAAATGCATTGAAGTTAGTCAGTTTTCATTTGATTTTTCTTGTCGTTTAAGTCTAAAATGGTCAAACGGTGTGTATGGGGTACATGCAACTATATAGCTCTATAGCTTCCCGAGAGGCTGGGCAACGGTGTGTGTTTTTTTGTTTTTTTTCCAAGCCACATCTTAACCGAGATAAATGTCTGCTCTGGATTAAGTGATGCGGTAGACCACAACACCAACTAAACATGGATAAATTAAACAAGGATGTCTACATCTGATTTAAGTTTAGTCAACAACGTATTTGAACGTTATCTTTAAAATCTCTAATGTTAGACATAAACATCAACGTTAGCTTCTAGCTGCGTTGTAAATCATGTCACTTAGCTTCATTAACGCATCTGTAAATAACCTTAATAACAAACGATAACAATGATTGATGTAAATGCTGTAGCACCAAATGCTGATGGCAACGAAATGCGGTTTATCACGTTTACACTGTGACCTGTACATTTTTGCCTGGAGCTGAAGCTTTTCATCGACCTTCTCAACAATAAAATTATGAATATAACCCTCCAATACATAGTTAAGCCCTTTAGGTGACTTCCAGATCTTTCTGTCTCCATAAATCACCAATGGCCTCCTGTGAAATGTCTCCTACTGTGACCGCTGCCAGTCCCCGAATGTTGACTCTGTGTCAGAGTGAGTGGAGGGGGCGTGGCTTATCCATAGGTCAATTAGATCAAGTTGTTTGGACGTTTCTCTGGTCGTGGAATGTCTGAGAAGTGACAACGCTATACGAGCGACTAAAAGGTGGCTAATTTTGTAAGACCTCACTCATACCGATTTGTCAGATTCAGAGGTAGGTCATTCGTACGAATTAGCCACCTCGTAAAATACGTACGAATTGGGTTGTAAGTGACGTGTTGTAATCTGGTGATTGTGCGCGTTGGTTTTATAGTCATCTGAGATGCTCTCCAGAATTGCACATGACTCAATTTGCTCTTTGGAGAGTTTATTTAGAAGTTAAGTGCCGTGTGGACGCGTCCCATCTTGTGTTCCTGGCCTTCCGCCTGGTTTCCCGAGTCCTCCTGAGCGAGCTCCACGAGCAGAGCCCGAAGCCGCTGTCTCACGGCACGCCTGCCCTCGCCGATCTCCGCGCACTCCTGAACGGCTCTCTGCAGCGCCACCTGCAGGGGGAGACCCGCTTTAGCGCCCAGCAGCGTGGGAGAAAACCACGGCCTGAAGATCTTCTCACAGATCACCTGTGGAGAGACAGAAACAGAAGCATGACCTGCTATGGATGAGGAGAGCAGCCATTAGCGCCATCCTGGTCTCGTTTCATCATCTCCGGAGCAATCATCAGCCACATTCGCTATGCGTGCCATTTGAAAGGGACCGGAGAGCAAAATGCGATGGTCTCCTTGACCCAACAGCTTGAACGTTACAAAGCCCTCATTGTTCTGAATGGCAGGCCATACAATGGGAAGGTAGAGGTCACCAAGGGTTGCGTTAAGTGATCGGGAACGGAGAGATGGGCTCTGTCTCAGCACCTGTGGCCAGCTCGTCTGTTAGCTTGTTCTCCTTAAGGGGAGTTGGCACTGACAGCAGGTGTTGACTAGCAACCAACCCAAATGAACAGATGAAAGACGTTGCGTGACTGTGGCAAAGTATCTTTTGGAGAGTTTAAACCTGCAATGGCGGCGGCATTCGGAAAAATGGTTACTCTGGCTGTCATTATATCTTCAAGTATTTTTGGGACTTCCTTTGCGTTTGCTGTTGGTTTGACTTGTTCCCATTATTTTTGGGTGAAAATGCAAAAAAGAAAAGGAATAAGGAATCGTGTAAACGGGTTTCCTAATTATTATTTTTTTAAATGTTATCACCCTGATCATAGACCAATGCCGTAAAAGACTCAAAAACAAAGTCACGAAATTTTTAGAGTCATATATAATCTGCACAATCTAAAAAATGCAAATTTGGGTTAAATATGGACAAACCCAAATGTTGGCTTAAAAGTAAATGCAATTAAAAAAATGTAAAGTTAAAAGTGAAAGTTGAAGTTGGGTTAAAATTTTGGGTTTGTCCATATTTTACCCAAATTTGGGTTAAAACAACCCAGCATTTTTTAGAGTGTAATATAAATATATACTTTGTACTATATATATATACATACAGTATATATGAAGAGTTCATATGCAAAAGCCTCTAAATGCTATTTGAAATTTTCTTCTTTAATGATGATTTTTATCAAACTTGTATATTTAAGTTCAGTAATTTCACTTAAATAACAATTAATAGGTAATTATCATTGCCATTTAAGTGAAATTACTGAACTTAAATATACAAGTTTGATAAAAATCATCATTAAAGAATAAAATTTCAAATGGCATTTAGAGGCTTTTGCATCTGAACTCTTCATATGTATGTATGCATGTATATTATGTTTTGTTTTTTTTCAATGTAATTTCAGTGTAAATAGTTTTAAATATTGCGCTTTTTATGTCAATTTAACGGTAATACTTTACAATAAGGTTTCATTAGTTAATGCATTAACTAGCATGTAATGATTAATACATCTGTTACATGATTTACTAATCTTTGTTGATGATAATTAATAAAAAATGCTATTATTGTTCATTGTTAGTTCATGTCAGCTCAGGTCCTTCAAATAATATTAACAGGTCCTTTTGATTTGAATAATACAGTAGAAATTATCATTTATGTTTTTCATCATGTTAACTAATGTAGTTAACAAATGTTAACAAATGAAATTTTATTGTACTGTGCTCCCAATCTAATTAATGTTTCTATTAACTGGGGTCAAATTTCCAGTGCCTTGAATTTTATTTTATTTTTAAAGAAAAATGTAATTATACTTGATAATTTTTAACACATACGGGTCAGTTTAGGAGCATTTGAAACAATATGTACTACTATTAAAAAGTCATACGAACAACGTCACAAAAAGCGATGAGAGATTAGAATTGTTGGCTTGCGGTGTTTATGGAGCCTTAATTTTTTGAATGCAGATTTGATATCTGATTTTTTGAATGTCATATGTGTGTAGTTTATCTAATCAAAGGTGCTTCCTCAGTTCGGTCAGCGCTGTTAACCCTCATTGTGTTTTAGAAGCCGCTATCTGATTCCCTTCAGCGTTATCATGAACTATTAACATTCCCCGCATTTTTCTTGGCAATGTTTACAGCGGAAGAATGATTGTCTCCTCCGGGCTGTTTTAGTGTAATCCTGTGTGACACTTTTCAAACACAAAGTCGTTTTCTTTTCTCTTTCAGAACAAGTTAACACCCTATCGCATATATAACTGCTAACCACACAACTCCAAAAGATTATTGAATGTTGAAATATACTATAATTGATGCAGAACAGAATAGAGAGCTCACCCACCTGAAGATTACTGTTTTGGCGTTTCGGCCCGCATCTGTTTTTAGTTCTGTCACACTTGGAAATGCAGTCAAAGAAGTTGCAGTCATTGTCACTGGTGCAGTTCTGCTCAAGTATGTCTCTCATTTTGGGCTCGAAAAAAGCCATGTCCACATCTATTGCCACCACCTGACCAGCAAAAAACAACAACAAATATAAAGTATAGTATTTATATTTACAGCGAGGCCCAGAATTTTAAAACCACAATAATCTGGAATTCAAAATCTAATTTAATCCTGAAAAAAAAAAATGTTTTATGATTAAAAAAAAAATATATATATATATATATATAGACAAAAAAAAAGAAATATTTTATTATCTGTACTATTTCTAGGACATTTATTAAAATATGTGACCATTTTCTGACAAATTTGACCATTTTTCTGACCATTTTCCATTGGAAATATCAAATATTAAAACTAAGAAAAGTCAAGAATATGATTTAAACAGAGCTTTAAATTGAAATTGTATTGCAATACTTTGCAATAAAAAAGCAAATAGAATCTTTTTCAATAGTAGTCTCAGACTATTGAAACTCTGTAAACGCTGTTTATTAATTAATAATAGATTTTTGGTTGCACTTTATTTTACAGTATGTGCAATTATAGTGTACTTACTTAAGAAAGTGCAGGGTAATAAAAGGTAACTACATGTGTTAGGTTTAGGGGTAGTTCAGGGTTACCTAGTTATTACCCAACTATTGCTATGACTATAATAAGCACATCTGTGTACATGCAGAACAGGACTGTTAAATAAACTGCTACCAGATTTGTATAGAGAGAGAGAAACAGACAGACACATACTGTAAATATATATGTAACCTCTGCTGTCGGAGCTTAGACTATTCGGCAATCTTTGACAAAGCTGTTTTTCTGTTGCTCACAAACCCTGTTTTATCAGAATAATAATAAGAATCTGTGCATAGACCTCTACATAAAAAGAAAAGGACAGTAATTGAAAAAATGACCGGCAATACAAACAGAATCTTACACACATACTGACTTTTGTACACTCTAAAACAATAGGGTTGTTTTAACCCAAATTTGGGTAAATATGGACAAACCCAAAAATTTAATTTCAAATTTTAACCCAACTTCAACTTTCACATTCAACTGTAGTTTTTTTTAACCCAACATTTGGGTTTGTCCATATTTGACCCAAAGTTGGGTTGAAACAACCCAGCATTTTGAGAGTGTAATGCTGTCTGTTAGAAAGATGGCATATCTGATCTGACTTTGATTGATGGTTGTCATACAGTATCTGCATGATGTCATCACCTGCTGTTTACAGTACGGCAGTAAAACCCGTTAAACACGCAGCGTTCATCTCAACCTCAATCTCAGCACAAATAATGTGTGCGTAATGCCCTGCATTTTCCTGTATAGATCTACAGATTGATTTTTCATCTGTTTTGGAATCATTTCATCATGAGATCTGAATAAATATTTTAGTTTACACTATAATTATCTTACTTTTTTTCTAACTGATATGCTAAAATAGATTGAAGAACTTGTTGTTAATAATATTTTGGCGTAAACTATACTTGTTAATATTTGCAATAATAATAATTAATAATAGCTTAAATACTTCTGGACCATAACGAGCCTTTGAGCAGTGCAAGTTTATAAGGAAATGTTTAGGAGATTTAATCGAGCAGTTAAACACTATCCTTTGTGTAGTTTACATCACAGTTTTGGCAACGAGACGAGGATTATGTGCTCATGAATTTGATCTAATTATAATAACACTTATGCAGAATAAACTAATAACAGTAATCTAATTACAGGAATTATAATGCAATCTAATACGGTAAAATATTTACTCTTCATAGAAATATTGTGGGTCCAAGTCCTGATTCAGTCGAGCATTATAACATTGTAAATACTTGCATTTTTTTTTTTTTGCTTCTTCTATTTAATCAGCTCAGACTTCTCTGATTAAATTAAAAGATTTGGAGGATCACTTGTGCCACATCAAGTGTCTTTAACTACAATGTTCCAACCTTTAAATGAATCATTTGATGCAATGCACTTGTACTTTTCTCTAAATACATCTATTATTACACTATTGCCCCTTTCCTTAAACATGTCCTAACCTTAAGCCCGGGACACGAAAGACAAAAGCTGACTGTCTTGGACCAGCATGTCATGTAAATATCTGTCTATATCAGTAGGAATCATATATTTGTCATTCAAAAGGGGAAACCGAACCTTGAACTGCAGAAACACAACCCGTAAACAAAGCATTTTGTACCGTCTTGACCTCTCTGAAAATGGTATTACAATATGACAAGAACTCTAGTTGTCAGATCAGTTGATATTTCTCTGGTTTGGGCTATACTTCTGTTAGACTGTCTCACAAATGAATTATGCTAAATATCTGACAGCTGTTAAATTTAACTACACAATTAGATTATACCAGTGTAGCTCAACCAATTACAAAGCAATGATTAATTTTGTTCATTCTGTGGTGTAAAAAGTTGCTATTAGCGATTACAGGAAAAACACTTCAGCAAAACATGGTCAGGTCAACGTGTCTGAATAATATTTGGTCCCACATTTTGATATATTTTTTTTTATTGGTAGACACTTATGGGTATAATATGTCTCAGTTTACTTTATTTGCTCTCCTCACTTACATAAATGAACTATAGAGTCCTGCACACACTAGTAAATATCACATTTACGTCTTTTTTGGTTTGACTGTGTTTGATGTAAAATATTCACAGTGAAATTTTGTGATATGACGGATATGCTTCTGGCTTTATATGAATGAGCCTATTAATTGGGTAGTTCACTTTTTAAAAAAACTTTTGCTGATAATTTACTCACCCCCACGTCATCCAAGATGTCCATGTCTTTCTTTCTTCAGTCGAAAAGAAATTAAGGTTTTTGATGAAAACATTCCAGCATTTTTCTCCATATAATGGACTTCAATGGGAACCAAACGGTTCAAGGTCCAAATGAGAGTTTCAGTGTAAACTGTTCAAGGGGCTTTAAACGATTCCAGACGATGAATAATAGTCTTATTAAGTGAAACGATCGCTCATTTAATAAATAAACAACAAACTTTAAGTTTTATAAGCACAAATGCTCGCATGATGCGCGTTCGTGACTCTCCTGTTCGAACTCGTCCATCAAAATGAACAAATCTTTTTCCGAGTCAGTTCGTTCATTTCGTTCGTTGAATGAACCAAATGACTCGAAAAAAGATTTGTTCATTTGCAGTTTTACTGAAACTCTCATTTGGACCTTCAACTGTTTGGTTCCCACTGAAGTCCATTATATGGAGAAAATCCTGGAATGATTTCATCAAAAACCTTAATTTCTTTTCGACTGAAGAAAGAAAGACGAGGACATTATCAGCCAATTTTTCTTTTAAAAAACTCACCGTCAGGTCCTTCCTGATGGCAAAGTTCTCCGGTTTGATATCACAGAGGTGTAAGCGGTGTGAAAAGTCATTCTCGAAATGCTCCACCATCTCCAGAAAGCTCAGAGCCACTCGGGGAACCATGTCCCCGGCGGTGAACATCTCGTCCCGTCCGCTCCCGGGGCTCGGCGAGGCGCTCAGTGACAGTTCCTCCAGAGAGAAGATTTGTTGGTCCCATGCGTGTCCGGCGGCCAAGAACTCCACGGCATAGAAGTGTCCACAGGAGCCCAGGATCTTGGCCACGTGGTGCGTCAAATCCTGCAGGACCCTGAGGAAGATGTACTCCTCCTGCTGAAGGAGAGCCCAGAGCGAGGCCAGCTCAGCTCGCGAGTACGTGCGCTCGCTCTCCTTCAGCTTCTGACCCCACAAGCGGGGCAGCGTCAAGTTAGTTCCCGTCTCCAGGCCGAGCGAGTTCTTGATCTCCAGGGTGGCGTAGAAGACCACATCCAGAGGCGAGAGCTCCTCCTCGCCCGTTCCCCCGGCCCCGTCCTGGTACTCCAGCAGAGCTAAAGCCTCGTAGGAGGAGAAGTTCTCCAGCTTGGACTTGAGGACGACAGGCACCCCGCGCCAGCTGGCCGCCATCACCTTCTTGCCATTCTCGTAATAAAGGCAACGTTTGTATTCCACGCGACCGGCCACGCAGAGGTCATCACAGAGGTCACCGCTCAGAACGCCCTGCTGATACTCGTCACACTGAAACACACACACACACATCGCTGCGTTACACTCGCTCTTCACATTAGAAGCTCAATGTGCACCATATTTCAGTGCATACTGTGTGTATATGAAGAGTTCAGATGCAAAAGCCTCTAAGTGCCATTTGAAATTTTCTTCTAGAATGATCATTTTTATCAAGCTTGTATATTTAAGTTCAGTGATTTCACTTAAATGGCAATGATAATTACCTATTAATTGTTATTTAAGTGAAATTACTGAACTTAAATATACAAGTTTGATAAAAATCATCATGAAAGAAGAAAATTTCAAATGGCATTTAGAGGCTTTTGCATCTGAACTCTTCATATATAGATATATACATTTAATACTAAATCAAGTGTAAATCAAGAACTAAATGCTGTTCTTTTGAACTTTCTATTCATCAAAGAATCCTGAAAAATAAAATGTATGTCGGTTTCCACAAAGATATGAAGCTGCACAACTGTTTTCAACACTGGTAATTATCAGAAATGTTTCTTGAGCATCAAATCATGTGATTTCTGAAGGATCATGTGACACTGAAGCCTGGAGTAATCACAGGAATAATGACCTTACGAGTTCGATTAAACCAAAGTATGAGGGAAGAACAAAAACACTAAACTTAAGATATCTGACAAAATTATTTTGCAAAACAAAAGTCAAACTACAGCTACATGTTATATCGCAAAAATAAAATCCGTAGAAAAACAAAAAGCTCAACAATCATTGACTACAACAATCAATTATTAATATTTTGTTGGTTCTCTCATGTTTTTTGCATGTGCTTGTAATTTATTTGTATGACAGCGTGGACAAAAGGGATGTCAGAACAATTTGTTTCATTGCGTTGATTACTAACACAATATTGCTTAAAAATAAATAAATAAATAAAGGGTGAATTTGTCAATTTTCCTAAGCTTGACATTTTGACCACTACTATATATATATATAATTTTTACAATTCCTAATTTTATATTGTGTACCATTCGTGTTATGCTTATTCTTATTCCTAGCATGTCCTAGCACCCGCCACAGTTTCATATAGTCTCATTATTATGATGTGTCATCAAACTAATTTCCTTTGCGTTAAAGCAGTTTTTAATGAATGCAATCTTAATTCCATCTTATATCACACATTTTGAGATACTGTACCAATGCCACCTGTCAGCATATTTTACTGCCATGCATGAAATTCACATATTTAATCTTGCAAACCAGCCAAATAGGCATCTTAATGCATGGATTTAAAAGAGATCTGCTTTTGCTCTTGTATTTCCCTCTGGTGAGAAATGAGCTCTGGCTGTTGTTGCTGCAGTCTGCACATATATGTGTGGGTTCAGGGGCTTCGGCGCTGCGGATGATTTGTGTTCCACTGAGATTACACTGCAAATCGTCCTCTGTCACCTTCCAAAGTAAACAGCTGTTATCCGCTCACAGTCCGGCGCTGGTCCGGCTGCTATCGGCAGTGGCTTTAGCGATATGTTTTCCTTATCATTAGCATATCAGAATGGTCTGTGGGATGCTCTTGCTTGTCCCCTGACATAAAATATGTCCTCTGTGTTAGAAAAAAGCCTGCTAACGTATTTTACTCATTTATCATAAAACTGAAGTTCACACATTTGTGTAGCTAAACCTGCTTGGCTGAAATTGGCAATGATACACTACATTTTTACATTCTGAGCGTTGTTCGTTCGTGCAAAAGTTGCTATGTGAGCAATGGAGATATAGTCAGAAAGTCTGAAATTTTGGCTCAATCCGTCAAAGCATAGAAATGTAAGGTTACACTTAATTTTAAGGTCTCAGACTCATTGTTACAGTGTAATTATAATATACTTAAAGGGATAGTTCACTTTGAAATTAATTTTTGATATGTTTTAGCTTACCTCGAGGGCATCCAAGATGTGGGTGTCTTTGTTTCCACTTTAATGACAAATTCAGCTGTACATTTATAATGGCTTCATGACAGCCAATGTCAAAGCCAACCACATGACCGTTTTATTGTAATGTTAACCAATAAAGCTAGGTGGTTTCCTAAGTTTGATAATTAATCTGCTATGTCATGTTTATGACATATTTATGATAGGTTATGATGTATTGGTTTATGTCAAGGTGTCATAACAAAGACATATCAAACAATGTCATATTCGCTTTACAAATGTCATAACTGAGCGAATGACACTTAATGACAGTTGTCACAAACATGCATAAACCCTCCTTCATATTTATGACGTGTCATGTCATGATTATGAAGGTGGAATGTCAGTCTTATGCACACCCCTTCAAGTAAAGTGTTACCAAACTCATTAATTCTGCCAGAAATGCTGAAGAGGTTTCTGTCGTCAAACGGCTCTTGCCACCAAAGATAGCCTGTGATAATCTACTGACAGTTTTAGAAATTTAGCATGATCATCTAACAGTGTGTTTGTTGCTCCCCGACATACATATAGTACTTGCTATCCAATCAAAATGCAACTTGAAAAGTGTATTGATCAAGTTGACATGCGCTAATACTTCCTCAAGCTCCATTTGTAGCATTGGTGCCAAGTTGGCCTCTTTTTCTCCACTTTAAGGCCACATTAAAAACCACAATTGCCAAAGTGTGATTCATCTAAGTCTATGTGTTTGACACTATAGCGCATACTGATTAGAGCCAGACCGATATTATCGGCCGATATTAGGCATTTTCCATAATATCGGTATCGGCAGTTATAATGGCCGATAAATGAATATTTAAAAAATAAAATAAAAACGGACGAAACACGCTTCAATCATCTCTCCTTTGCCTGTTATATTGAAAATGTATGTTTTACAACTTGCAGTATGATGTTATCTATTGCTAACCATAGACTAGCTAACCACAAAGCTAGCTAATGCCAATATCATCAGTGGAAGACCGCTAACGTTAACATTAATGAGCTTGGAAACCACAATGAACTTTTTCTGAAAGCTAGCGTATATCTAGTTACAGTCCCTGCAATGTAAAATGTAAGTTATACTTGCGAGGAGTGAACATTTAGACATAGAGAAAAAGTATCAAACGTATCTTGTGCAGAAAAGTTAGCTTTTCTTTTACACGTGTGTGAAATCCAACAATATTTAATAAAAAATATATATATATATCGGCCGATATATCGCATTTTAAAACCCAAAAATATTTGTATCGGCCTTCAAAATCCTTTATCGGTCGATAATACTGATGACGGTTTATTCTTCTAATACTAACTTACATGGTAGTCTATGATTTAATAGGTGTCCTCATTATACAGTACAATTTCCTGAATTACTCCCAGTTGGTCACTTGAATAATGCACTGGGAATCTCAGATGTTTGTTATTAGCTCGACTAAGAATAAACATAGAAAGAGCTTCAACCCTGCAGAGCCTCTCGTGGTGTTTGTGTGGTCACTACCGGGCGTTTGGTCAAGGCTGATGGTTTTTGTTCAGCACTGTAAGTGCCAGCCACATGTGTTTTAATTCGCAGATTTGCTTTAGATGAGACAACAGCTCCCATCTGCATGTAAACTTTCCTACTGTGAGGCCTGTACACGAGCAGCTGGCCCGAATCCAATGTTTGTGTGTTTAATATAGAAAGTGAACTCACTGTTTGGAGGTTTGAGAACGAATGTGTGCAGGCATGGGAAACTCTCGCTGATCCGTCGTCAGACTCGGAGAAAGTGACTCGAATGTTGTAAATCATGACTGTGTTTGTTATCTAGCGGTTGGGATGACAGAAACATACATATTTTTTTTCTTTCAGTTAAGCCAAGAACGAATACGAAGCCCTGGATCTGATAGCATGTTGGTCTGGCACATTGTCTCTGATGCGAATAAATGAACCACAGGCGCTCTAAACATTAACATGTGCAACTACTCTGAATTTGTTGTCGTTCTGGAAAAATCTACAACCACGCAGAGTTATTATCCATCCTCAGACTAAACCTTACAAATATTTCGGTTCATTGAAATAAAGCTGGAATAAAATAAAATATAAATGTTAGATTAAAAGCGTTAAATGAAGATGAAATACGTTGCCTCGGCAGATGAAATTAATAACTGGAAATAAATAAAAACAAATGGTCTGAAACTAAAATTTAAATAAGAATTAAATTAAGCCTAAATAGCTATATTTAATAATAAAAGGAAATGACAAAAGCTCATAAAAAACGACTAAACATGCCAACTAAAAATATAAAAATAGCTATATTATTAAAACCATAATGATAAATAAAAACGAAATAACACTATTAATGGCATCGGTCCTGCTTTATATTAAGTGGCTTTAAGTACTGTACTTATTGTGTTGATGTTGTATTGTAAAACACTTGTGCTGCTATTGAGGTGTGATACATACGGGTGAGGTTGGGGTCAGGTGTGTGTGTGTGTATGGGAAGGGTCAACAGTGCAATTACATAAATTAATTACAGCTGTAATTATAATCAAAATATAATTACAATGTGAAAACATGTATGTACACAGTAAGTCTATTGTATCAAATTGTTAATTTCAATGTAAGTACATAGCACTCAAAGCCACTTAATATAAAGTGGGACTATGAAACACAGTGTGTGCTGTAGGGACTCAAACCGGCTGGTTTTGGGGAGAGGTGTGCCGTAACTAAGCAATTGCACTTATATTTTTAGCCTGGGGACACAACAGAGGAAACACACACACACACACACACACTAAAGAAGGGACCGTACTGAGAGATATCTAGGGAGCAGAAAACTGAAATGCAACTCCAGTGTTGAGTGACGATATGAAATAAGATGGAAACAATATTTTCTTTATGCTTCTGAGCATGTAAGGTAATGACTAAACATTAGACTCCAGAGAACAGCGGTCTATTTCTGTTGCCCACAGGCTGGACGGCCATCTGGCCCGAGCGCTGGCCCGGCCCGGCATGCCAAGAATGTGTGCATAGGCTGTGCTTGGTCACTCCATCATTTTTATTTTACAAGAAACTCTGATTCAAAACGGGAAAAGGGCCTAATGTGCTCC